TCCTGGCGCCTTCCGCGCGGGGCTGGGAGAAGAGCGGGGCAGACGATCCGCCGTCCTGGGTGGTGCAGGGACCCAAACCCAGCGCAGCGCCCAGGCGGGTCCTCAGGCGCGGGCCGACCCCGACTGCCGCCGGGCCTGGCGAGCCAAAAGGGGGCAGTCTGCTCGAGCAGGGCCGCTTCCCGAGAAGGCAGGGGCCGGGAGCCCGGAGGGAAGCCCGTCTCCGAGGGGGCTCACCCCAGAGGCCCAGCGATGTGCACGGAAAGGGGCTGGAACTTAGGGGCTGACCGCGGGACACGAGGGAAGGGGGCGTGAGGCGAAGAAATGCGAAAGTGATGAAGGGGACAGTGAGGGAGGAGAGGGCATACAGCGAGGGTGGGGCGCCCTCTGGGGCAGGGGCCGCTCTAGAGTTAGGTCGCGATCCCGAAGCGCCCCACGAACGACGCCCGATGGCCCCACTCACCCGGGATCCGCACAGCTGCCTGTGAACCTCGCGGCGGGTCTGCGGGAAGTTCCCGGGGCAGGGACGGCTCGGCGCTCCTCGGGGTCCCCAGGACCGCGCTGGATCGGGCAGGCGGAAGCGCCCCCAGGCCTGGAAGCGGAGCCCCAGCCCGCGCCCGGACGCGCCCCGGCTCCCCGAGCCCGCGAGGCGGGAGCGCGCAGGAGCGGCCGGGACGCGCGGCGGCCGGGGCTCTGGAATGCGCCTACGCCGGGGACCGCCCCCGGAAAACCCCGGCCCGGCGCGGCTCCTCCCCCAGCCTCCCCTGAGGGCTGCGGGGGAGGAAGGAACCGGCCCGAGAGGGAAGAGGCCGGGGTGTCTCGGGTTCCCCTCGTCCGCTCGCCACATGCTCGCCCCGTGGCCTTAAACACGTCACTTCGCGCTTCTCGGGGGGCTCCGCTCTTTGTGTTGTAAAGTGAGAGGGTCGGCCTAAAATGTGTCCTCCAAGATCGTTTCCAGATGCAGTGTAGACATAGGAAAGTCTAGCAAGTGCGTTTGGATGGCGGACTCGGAGTCCCTGCCTTGCAATGTACCTTCGCCTCTCTGTACTGTGAGGAGAGTAACACCTGCCTCCCAGCCTGGTTGCCAGGATTGACTTGGAGGACCAGTGTGAAATTGGTAGGTTGCCTGCCATAACAGGCCTCTGAGCATCCTGTTTGTTTTGTGATAACGGTGAAGTGACCCAGTCCAAGGTGATCAATGGCCCATCACAAATTGGCCTTTGAGAGCCTTCCCATCCCCCTCTCTGTTGGTGGCTCCGCTTCCACATAGCGCAATGCCAATTCCGCAATCTCCCGGCCCCCCACTCCCCCACCCTCGCCCCATCCATGGAGTGAAGGGGGACTCCTGGTCGGTGGTATCTTGGCGCCCACACTTTTTGATTCAGCTGTGGAGTTTTGTTCAGTCTTACTCTTCTGAAAAAAGGAGCGCAGGCCTTGAGTTGATCAGTCAGTGGGATCTTGAGCAGTCTTGGAGCCCAGTGGTGTTTCAATTTCTTCCTTTACCCAATGGGTATGGAAAGAACCGCACTGCCTTACCCAGGCCTAAACTTGGTATCCTACAGGCCCTAAACTTACGCCCTGCTGTTTCTTCTGATTCAGGGATGAGGTCAGCAGAAATGACTTCTAAATCAACATTACCAGATGCCAGTTTTTTAGAGGACAATGAGGATGAAGATTGACGTGAGAAATGATTTGACAAAGGTTCCAAGGGTTGCTGCCCAACAGCAAGTTGGGTGAGACATGTTAATGCGAAGAGAAAAGTGTAAGATCCTAAAAACAAGCACAACCCAATTCTAAATAGTTTAATACAAAATTCTCGTTTAATAGGGAAAAAAAAGTTAAAGGAGGACAATCTTAGTACAAAATGCTCCCTGGTTAGTGGAAGGAGATAGGGCATCCTTTGGGTGGACAACTGGTAAGTCCCTGTGCCCTGCCCCGAACATTGGCTTCCCTCTGAGGCTTAGGACTGGAGCCAGCAAGGGTGGTCACCCAACAACATGTTTTGATCAGAAGAGAAAGGCTTAGTCTGCCTTTCCCATTTAGCAGTGTATTAGTATCTCTTTAATATCAATTTGCCTAGACTCAAAAAGCAAGCCAAAAAAAGAAAGTTTGAATATCCTATGGGAAGCGTACCATGTTAAGTCTGCTGCCTCAGCAGGACTGTTTTTGCAAAGAAGGGATTGGAAGGGAAGAGTAATGGATGCTGTGTTGGGGGGGTGTAGGAAGAAAAATAAAAATAGCCAATTTCAACCACCAGCTTTTGTTACAATAAAAACCAGGCAGCAACTCACATCTCACTTCCTTGGTCCCCAATTACAAGTACTCCAAAGAGAAAACCATCGGGAGCTCAGAGCATCAGTAATACTCACTTGGAGATCCCTGATAGTGGGGGAAATTTGTTTAGAATTTTTAGACTAATGACATTGGTCCCCAGCCTAAAGGGACCCCCCCCCTCCACTCAGATGCAATCCATAGCAGAAACCCTGTCTATGGATCATATCTACATAAGACTTTCTCTTTTCATTTTTTACCTGGACAAGTATATTTATTTAGTCATGGGGAATAATGTGGTATATTGGACTGGAAATCAGGAAACTAAAATTCTGAGTCTCAGAACCATTAATGCCCAGTTTCCTCACTTATAAAATATTATAATGAGATCTACTCCTCCTGTCTTATACAATTATTATGAGTAAAGATCTTATTCATGTACAGCAGGTCCTCAAATAAAGTTCTTTCATTATAACATTAAAGAGAAAAAAAATCAACTCCCAGCCAGAGCGCTGTCTGTGTGGAGCTTGCATTCTCCCCATGTCTTCATAGGGTTTCTCCAGGTCCTCCAGTCTCCTGCCATGTCCCAAAGATGTGCACGCTAGGTGCATCGGGGTGTCTAAATTGTCCCAGCCTGAGCGACTGTGGGCGGGTGTGTGATTGTTCCCTACAGTGGAATGGAGTTCTGTCTGTCCAAGGTTGGTGCCCACCCTACACTCTGAGATGCGGAACAGGCTCTGGCCACCCAGGACCTGAACTGGAATAATTGAGTAAATAATTATCTTACTTGTTTTTTATTAATCTTTCTTAATTGTATTTATAGCTCACTTTTATTTCAGTGTTTAATATTAGAAGTGTTTTAGACTTTATAAGTTTAGTGATGTTTTTGTGACCAGAAATATGCTATGGAACTTAACTCTTATTTATATCAATACCTTGTGGTAAAATTGGGTTTCATTTTACATCATCTCCCTTAAAGTCACAGTTTCTAAGAACCTATCAAGGGCACTAAGTGAAGACTTGCTATATCCTTTCATTCAAAACTATTCATTGAATATCTCCTACCTGGGTTAGGTAGATAGCGAGGGATGGGATTCTGGGTCTCCTAGGAACAAAAGTGGGTGCTGTTGCCCCTAACTTGGTCCTGCCCCACCCTAATTCTCCATACCTGAGGGAGGAGGGGATACCCTACAGATCTGCCAATCAGAACTTTGCATGCCAGCTGCAAAAGAATGCAGAAAACTTTCTAGCCCACAGGCCAAGCAGCATAGGTACCATAAAGTCTGGAAAGTGACCTAGCACCCACATGTGTAGTTTAGTTTCAGGTCATGTGACTCCCAACTGTCCAATCAAAGTGGTTCCATAGTGACCTCTGAACCACAAAATAGGTCCGATAGGCACTATAAAATAAGATGCAGACCATAGCTGACCTCTCTCTTTGCCCTTCCTTTTGATTGCCCTGCTGCAACCATGGGCCCAGTCATTATATGTGACATATGTACCATGTTCTGTAAACCTGTATCTTACCCTTGCTCTATAATCCTATCTTTCTTTCCTCAATAAACCTCATTTTTGTGCTTGCCTAACTTTGGTGTGTCTGGTCATTCTTCAGCCATGGGAATCCCAAGAACCAACATTTCAGACTGAAACCTGACACCTGTTCTAGGTGTGTAGTAAGACAAACTATCTTTATTTATGGTGCTTACCTCTAGTGGGAAAATATTCACAGTAAATAAGTAAACAAGAAAATAAACAAGCATTATAATATCTGTTTGTGAAACCATGAAGAACATAATACAAGTCGATGAGATAGAGTGATAGACAATATTTTATCATGGAGATTATAGTTAATCTAAATTTCCTAAATTGTTTATATCATCAATGATTATGTTACTCTCTAATATATCAGTTTAAACACAATTTCCAGGGTCTTTAATTAACTTTGAGAACTTAGACTGATATTAAACCAAGCAAATTGGTGAATAATTTTTAGCTGCCTGGATACATTTCTAAGGAAGATAGAATACAAAAGCATTGGTCACCAAGCCTCGTGTGTGCACACATGCGCACATCTTTGCCTCTTATTTTTATATGTTTGACAGCAGATAGACCATTGGGCTACAGTATTAATAATATATATGTTCTATTTTTCCACTTTAAGAATTGTAAAAGGGTTTTGTGGCCACAGGAGGTTTGATAGCGATTGCTTCTGATCTTTGCTAGTCTGCTAAATGTTTGTATATTTCACAATAGTCTCAGTTACTTGCCTGCAGGCATCTCTGTGAGGAAATAAAAGTAGTTACATTTGTTAAAAGTTGTAATTTATATGGGCCATGGAGACTATACTAAAAGCTGAAGTAGCAAAGAAACATGAATGTGCATGTACGATGATAAGTGTTGTTTGGCTTATCAAGGGAAAGAGTAAGTAATTTCGTCAGCAAGTAAAATAAATGTGCCAGAATGTAAAGATTAGTAAAAATTAATATTTGAATGAGCAAGTTGTAGAAGCTTAGGGAAAAGAAAACATTGTAGGTCTATAATACCTACAAATAATGAGTCTGGAAAGAAATAATGAAATATGTTAAAATTTTGACTAAATTGACTCTGCTTTAATGGGCTTACTTGTGAGACTTTTTAAAAGGGAGTCTGAATCCTTTACTTGCAATTGTTATATTAATGCAAAAGTAGAATTTAGTTTTCTTTTTCTCTATGTTAAAATGACAAACTAGTATTGGAATATTAACTTTGCTCTTGACAAGAGATAGTAAAAGTTATTTTTAACTTCTGAGTAATTGGCCCAAATAGGAGATATTATGTATTTAACCAGAATAACTTTCTGTGCTTTGTGCTGACTTTGTTATGCACTTGATTTTCCAAAAATAAAACAAAACCATAGCAAAAGTTCCTTATTTCTGAAACAGCTGGTGTTCCTTATAATTATACCTTCCTTTATGTTTACTTAGTAATCGTACTGTCGCTCTGGTTAATAGCTAACCAACTATAACTGCTCATTTTTCCTAGGGGTTATGTTTCTGTCTTATGATAGTGATTATTCTTCTGTGAAAATTCTTTTATATTTTATTTTATTTTATTTTATTTTTTTGAGACAGAGTCTCACTTTTGTTGCCCGGGCTAGAGTGCCGTGGCGTCAGCCTAGCTCACAGCAACCTCAAACTCCTGGGCTCAAGCAACCCTCCTGCCTCAGCCTCCCAAGTAGCTGGGACTACAGGCATGCACCACCATGCCCGGCTAATTTTTTCTATATAATTTAGTTGTCCAATTAATTTCTTTCTATTTATAGTAGAGATGAGGTCTCACTCTTGCTCAGGCTGGTTTTGAACTCCTGACCTTGAGCAATCCACCCGCCTCGGCCGCCCAGAGTGCTAGGATTACAGGCATGAGCCACCGTGCCCGGCCTGAAAATTCTTTTTAATGTTGCCTTCTCAAGATCAGTTCCAGATATCAGAAAAATGTAATTGTTAGTGTGTTTTTACATGTCAAACCATCTTTGGTGTTTTCTGTATGGCTAAAATGCTAAAGATTTAGTATTTTAGTCTCTCGTCTTAAAACACGTGATGTATCATTCACAAGCAAGAGGGATGCTAGAATTAATTAGGTATGTTTGATTGCTCCATATTTGTTTGCTTGCTTGTTTGCTTTGGAGACAGGATCTCTCTCTTTCCTGGGCTACAGTGCAGTGGCATCATCATCATAGCTCCCTGCACCCTCAAACTTCTGAGCTCAAGTGATCAATCTGCCTCAGCTTCCCAAGTATCTGGGACTACAAGTGCTCACTACCACACCTGGTTAATTTTTCTTTCTTTCTTTCTTTCTTTTTTTTTTTTTTTGTAGAGACAGAGTCTCAATCTTGCTCAGGCTGGTCTCAAACTCCTGACCTCAAGGGATCCTCTCGCCTTGCCCTCCCAAAGTGCTGGGATTACAGATGTGAGTCACCAGGCCCAGCTGCTCCATATTTCCTAATTGGCTTAATAACGTT